ATTGAGGACCTACAATAATGTACAGTATTTGAAAAATAATGTGTTTTTTGAACATTAAAGCATGTCAACATATTCTGTTACACCAAATACACAAAATAATGATCTTTAAAAAAGCATCATATGACCCCTTTAAGAGCCTAGTGTAACAAAATATAATTATTTGAATAACTATGTTTAAAGAATTATAAAACGGATAGTTCCGGTCCTTGATTCTGATTGGCTGAGCCACGTTCGAAGCTGTTGTAAATTACAAACATACACCTTTGTTTACTTCTGTGTGTTGCTCGGCAACCACTTTGTTGGAACTACAACTGTTTCTGAGGAACTACATTGTTTGGTGGAAGAATACTGTTTTTATTAATATCATTACACTTTATTTGCTCTGTTTTATTTTGTGTGTTGCTCGGCAACCACTTTGTTGCAACCACAACTGTTTCTGAGGAGCTACATTGTTTGGTGGAAGAATACTGTTTTTATTAATATCATTACACTTTATTTGCTCCGTTTTATTTTGTGAAACCTTACTACGTATATGGAATAACCGTTTTATAAAAGCAATTCGCATCGTGCCAAACAACGCCCCTTAGCTGTTATAAATTAACTGTAAACCACGGCTTCTTGGGGCTTATTGCTTTATTAATAATTTCAGTATACAAGAGACAAACTTGAGGCCAACGAGACATTTATAGTGGAATTAACACAATTTTTTAATTTGAGTTGTCATGACAATTTACACAAGAACGATTTCATGAGCTTCCAATAAGGTTTTATCGCAGTTTCTCACCTTGTAAAAGCCAAAGCCAGGGTCGATGAGATCCGGCGTGTCAGTCTGGCCCGAGGTCCCGGCGCCTTGGCCGTCGCTCTCACCGTGAGTGGAGCTCTTATCGGACTCGCTCTGGGCCGATCCGCAGCCGGAGTCAGAGTCGGACAGCTCTGCCTCTTTGTCCTTCGGCAGCGGCGCCGACGTGAGCTTTTGACGCACCAGAAGTTGCACGATGTCGTTTAACCCAACATTATAGTCGAAGATTGTGTGGCCGTCTTCCATCTATGATGCCCAAACAAGACATTTAACGTTAAAGGATTAGTTCACTTCCAGAATAAAACATTTCCTGATAATTTACATCCAAGATGTTCATGCCGTTCTTTATTCAGTCGCCAAGAACTTAAGTTTTTTTTTAGGAAAACATTCCAGGATTTTTCTCCATATAGTGGACTTCCATGGTGGCCAACGATTTAAAGGTCCAAAATGCAGTTTCAATGGTCTCTACAAGCCGAGGAATAAGGGTCTTATCTAACAAAACGATCGGTCATTATCTTAAAAATATATATATTTATACACTTTAACCACAAATGCTCGGCTAGCATTAGCTCTGCGTCATTATTAGGTGATATTGGAAAGGTCGCACGTGACGTAGGCAGAAGTACCGACTAGGCCTGTCAAAAAAAAAATTCTAATTGAATATTCGTCGAATTTAAAATAAAAATTCACATTCCACATTCGTATTTTAGGTGTGCGTTAAGGAGGCAGCCTTATCAGTGGCGCACGAGATGCGATGACGATGTAAGTGTGGTTGCATTTTAATGTTTTTGTTAACCTATCCAGTTGAGCCACTAGATGCGGCGCTGCTGCGTTGTTCATTACAAATATTGCAGAAAAAGAGAACATCAATGCAGAGAAGATCTTGTATACATCAAAACTGAAACCAAGCCGTTCACATAGAACACATATTCCGTGCATTTTCTAGAGGGAAAGCTATTCTTCACCATAACTGAAATTATGCATTTTAAATTTGAACATAATTTTAATTTTAATAATAAGTACAAAATTCTAATTTAGTTTTCCAGCCATTTTGACAGCCCCAGTACCGACCCATTGTTTACAAAGCGAACATGTGAAAAAAGTCATTGCTCTTTACTAAAAAGGTAAAACAACGATGTCAGATGATTTTAAAGTTGGAGGAGAAAATTAGGAGTTTTTAACCGAAGTACAAAGACGAAGAACTAACCATGCGTGACCTTTCCAACCGGATTACGTAATGCGTTAAGACGCGCATCGCAGAGCAAGCCGAGCATTTGTGGTTAAAAAGTGGATAATTTCTTTATTATTTTTCAGAAAATGACAGATCGTTTCGCTAGATAAGACCCTTATTCCTCGTCTGGGATCATGTAGAGCCCTTTGAAGCTGCATTGAATCGTTGGCCACCATTGAAGTCCACTACATAGACAAAAATCCTGAAATGTTTTCCTCAAAAAAAAAAATAAACTTAAGTTCTTGGCGACTGAAGAAAGAACGACATGAACATCTTGGATGACATGGGGGTGAGCAACATATCAGGAAATGTTTATTCTAGAAGTGAACTTATCCTTTAAAACAACAATACACAAAATAATGCTTCATTTGTTGCTACCCAACCAATTTCTAACAGATAAAACCAATCCCTGTCCACTTTACGGAAATAAAACGCCACGTCACCTGTTTGCCCCTGTAAAAGAGTCGCTGCCTCTCAGCTTCGACATTGAAGAGCTCGGCGATCTTCACACGTAGCTCGTCCACCTTGGTGAGCTTGGACAGGGAGTCCACCCGATGGGTCTCCTTGCCATCCATAGTGCGCACCTGGATCCACATGGCGGCAAACCTGCAACGAGCGACGTCAGCGAGTGAGATTATTTCCCGCCTTGCTTTTTATAGTTCAGTCTATGGCTCTGAGCCAAGAGCTTCAAGCAGCAGGAAAAAGGTGTTTGTTTCACAGTGACGTGAGTGACACGGGCAGCTTTTTCCTCGTTCGTCTCCTCCGGCACTTTTAGGGTCGATACTCCGAGAAGCTGCTTTAAAGCGATCCGTTTCTTACGACTTTATGTAGAGTTACATTACCTTTACAAAAAAAGGTGTTAGCACGATACAGTGATGCTACCGAATGTCAAAACCCAAGGTACTTTCATTTCCAAGCATTTCCACACCAATTTTTTTTAATTTGTTTTCCAATTTATGATCAATTAGGCCTAATAGGTTTTCAATGAATGTCCGAACATGGTGTATGCATTTATCATTGTACTAAATGATTACAATATTTAAATAAAATGACATTACAAAGGCACACCAAACAATACTAACGTAAAACATGGTTTTACCAAGGTATATGCCTGAAAAATGTGGTTTTACCAAGGTACATGCTCAAGAAATGCAGTTTTACCATGGTATATGCCCAAAAAATATGGTTTTACCATGGCCCATGCCCAAAAAAATATGGTTTTACCATGGCCCATGCCCAAAAAATATGGTATTACCAAAGTACAGGCCAAAAAACATGGCTTTACCATGGTAGATGCACAAAAACATGGCTTTACCATGGTAGATGCACAAAAACAAGGCTTTACCATGGGGCATGCCCAAAAAACATGATATTACCGAGGTACGTGCCCAAAAAACATAGCATTACCAAGGTACGTGCCCAAAAAAACCATGGTATCACCATTCTACCCGTCTAGATCCAATTTCAAATTGGCGTGAGAGCTTATTATCCATTCCTAGGGGTGAGATAGTATATAAATGGAGTTAAAAAAAGGCCTTGTTGACATCTCTGCTCTACAAACCACGCCTGTTATTGGCGGAAATAGACGGAAACGCCCCCTAACGTCATTTAATGGTAGTGCATTGAATGAAATAACATCAGTCTTTAATGTTGTCGAGTTTAAGCCAACAACAGGAAGTTGAAATGGGGGTTGTACTTAATAAATTAGTATATTTGGAGTTTATTTGTAGAAATCAATCAGTTTAAACCAGAATTAACGCAAATCGTGTTCATTTAATTAAGGGGTTGTGCGCTGGTTATGATGTGGGTGGTGTTGTATCAAAAACAGACACTTAAATGTCAAATATAAACTAGGAGTAACTTAAAATTAAAACCAATTGAGTAAAACAGCTAAACATTTATCATTTTAATTAAGTAAAATCAGTGTAAGTAACGCTAACCCATTCTGAACTCCTGCATTACTCCAGTTACACCTTCACAAACACTTTCCTGTCTCCCATGGGCTTGTTTTGAACTGTTGTGCACAAATATGCGTATTTATTTCAGTCTGCCAGACCTTGATAACACACATTTTAGCGGATTTAATAGCAAAAATCGTATTAACCTCACAATTAAACTTCATTTAAGGGCATGGGGCTGATATAAAAATTAATTTAAAGACAGAAAGTGAAAGAAATATTTGAAAAGCGCTAAATATGACCTAACTGTTAACATGCACAAGATAAATATGCACATTTATTAATATTTACACAGTAAAATAAGGCGCGTACGCATGGTTTTATAGACAATACCTTTAAAGACCAACCGAAACTGATTTTAAAAACGGCTCTTTACCTGTAATCTTCCTCTTGAGAAAAACCAATTGAGTAAAACAGCTAAACATTTATCATTTTAATTAAGTAAAATCAGTGTAAGTAACGCTAACCCATTCTGAACTCCTGCATTACTCCAGTTACACCTTCACAAACACTTTCCTGTCTCCCATGGGCTTGTTTTGAACTGTTGTGCACAAATATGCGTATTTATTTCAGTCTGCCAGACCTTGATAACACACATTTTAGCGGATTTAATAGCAAAAATCGTATTAACCTCACAATTAGACTTCATTTAAGGGCATGGGGCTGATATAAAAATTAATTTAAAGACAGAAAGTGAAAGAAAGAAATATTTGAAAAGCGCTAAATATGACGTAACTGTTAACATGCACAAGATAAATATGCACATTTATTAATATTTACACAGTAAAATAAGGCGCGTACGCATGGTTTTATAGACAATACCTTTAAAGACCAACCGAAACTGATTTTAAAAACGGCTCTTTACCTGTAATCTTCCTCTTGAGAACAGAAGACGTGGTTTTAATTCAATTAAAGCGCTAAAAGTGTGAAAATATTGCACTTTTGTTACAGTTCAACCCTGCCGCGAAACGCACTGGAACTGGGGCTCAAATCAATAGAAGTGTTCAACAACGTGTTTCCCCTCCTGCCGCGGGCACAGCGCGTCGCTGATTGGCGGAGCGGAATTCTGAGCCGCTCGCTGATTGGTCGAGCCGCGCGTCACTCACGAGCGTTGCCGGAGCTTAGGCTGAGCGCGCGAAACCCTGCTCTCGTTATCGCACATGCTTGGCTCCTCGGCTCTTCTGAAATCTCGCGAAATTTGGCGGTGTATTATATAATAAAAGCACACGTTAAATGATTCGCTCATTTTTAATTAATATATAATCAACATTTAATTTCTAATTGTTTATTAAATTTACAAATAAAATAAAATATTTCAATATATAGTCAACGTCAAGTAATAAGCAAACAGTAAATTTATTAAATTAATGATATAAACTTTTTTTCTTAATGTTAAATCCTAATGTTATATAGTTTGAGAACTAAAAAAAACTAAAAATTTCACTGTTATTTTCTAATGGTAATATATATTTTTTATTTAGCAAAATGTACCCTAAACTAATTGCAGTAGCACATGGAATATGCAGTATGAAAGACTACAGTTATTTAAATAAAAAATTAAAACAATGGTCAAGTAAACAACGAGTCCTATTTATTTTTAAATTGATGCTAAACAACGTAAAGGAAAATTCACAAGATCAACAGGTACGTAGTTCTTATTCAAAACTTTTCCTAGTCAATTTTACTGCCATCTTCTGGTCATCTGAAACGACGAAGTCCTACAGAAGTCCACATTTTTTTACCTTCTTCCGCATTACAAGGGAAAGCAGTCTTTAAAACACCCATGTGTCACTTAATGTTTTAGATATAAAACAGCCGGTACCATAAGCCACTTTATGTTTGATAATCAGTCCATTTCTACAGGTTCGCCGTTTCTTCTGTGGAAAAAGTCTGTTTCTGTTTCCCAGTTCCTGCTTCTGGATGAATGCAGAGCTATTACAAAGGTTAAGACGTCGAGCTAGGTGGGCGTGGCTTCAGCAACCTGCTCCCGCCTCTTTGCCCATTTTCGATTATCCGGGAGTGACGCGCAGTGACGCGCTGCCAAGATGGCGACGGCAGCCTCCGCCCACTTTTGAGCTTCAAAAACGCTCTTCGGAAATCTACGGGTGACGTCACGGACACTACGTCCATGTTTTTATACAGTCTATGGGTAAGACACACGTTCTTTTGTGTTTCTTTATCATATTTATCAAATACATTGAGTGATGTAGTATTTACCTATTAATTATTTGGTGAACGTCACGTCTGACTGTTATTTAGACTATGCTGTTTGAAGACAGCAACTAATAAGTCGTTAAACACTTATTTGGGATTATTTTCAAGTCTTGATATTGTATGTTATTATTCATACGCCGTTTTTTATATGATCTAGTCAATTAACCCAGCTTACAGGGAGCGTTCTCAGAACTTTGGCTAACGTTCTGGTAAGGTTCTCTTAAAGTTATGAACTAAAGTTCTTCTTGTAAGGTTAATGGAACACCTGTTCAAAGTTATCTGGTAATAATGTTCTCAACACGTTAGCGCAACAATTTTATTGATGCATTGTTCATGGAATGATGTAAACAAAATGGTTTCTAAAACATTTCAGTTGGATTTTTATTCTGATGTCTGATAGTCTGATATTTTGAAATGTTACTACTCGTTTCAGAATGTTCAGAGAACATTCAGAAATAGTGTTTTAAAAACTTGTTAGCAAAACGTTCATAGAATATATTTTGCTAGCTTGGGAAATATCACAATTAATATTGAAATAGACTTCACTTTGTCTTTCAGCATTCAGGAGCTCACACTCATCTAAGTGACTTCGGATTGAATGGAATGGCTTGAACATGTCATATGAGAGCACATATTCACATATGATAGCCCGTATTTGCGTAAACAATGGCAGACGATGGAGCAGAGCTCGTGGATCAAGGATTCGCGAATCTCGCCAAGGCATTTGAGATCATTTCCCAGGCTGGTCAGGATCGATGGGTCAGCCTGACGTTCAAAATGGTCCACACACGGGCTGAGGAAACGGTGAATGCCATGTGCTTGATTCTCCTTAAGAGGATTGGAGAGGCGCACGCTAAGCTAACGGCTAACAGCGACAGCAGCATTGAAAAATACTTAGCCAAAATGGTCAAAATGCACGGAGAATGTGTGAACCGTAGCCACATTGGTGGTTTTAAGTCAACAGACGCCAATATTGGTGGTTTTAAGTCAACACATGCCAATATGTTATTGGATATCGCAAGAATTTTTGCCGTTTTGGTGCAGGAGAGATTGTGCGACAAGTCGCTATGAGATCAAGCGTACCGCAAAGCTCTTGCGTCGAGCAGCATGGCTGGTTTGCTATCTTTAGACGTCGAGGAGGAAGTAAAGCAAGTCTGCGGGCCTGACGTTATCAATAAATCTAGCACTGAACTTCCTACCGAAACGTACAATTTGACGTCGCTAGGTCGAAACAATGGCCCTCCATCATCTCAGCAATCAAGCTCACATTACAGTATCGAAATTAGCTTGCCAACTGCTACAGAATCCAATATGGAAGAATCAAAGCCGATGAGTCTACGAACACCAACAGATGGTGAAACTACAACCAATCAAGACCAACTATGACATATTTGCGCAAAGAACCAGCTACCGACAGCGGAAGTTAATGACGCGGCAAAGTCGAAGCAGTGTCTAGACCGCAATGGAAGCTCCCAACTTGTGACATCCAAAAACACGAATCTCAATTTTTCGTCCGCCCCAAACGATGGCGACAAACTTCGAGCTCAACCACTAAACGCTAACGATCACAAACCGACAACTCAACCTATCAGTTTTAGCTCTCCAGAACCTAGTCAAAGCGACGTAGAAGAAACGTTTTACGACTTTGTGATCCTGCATGAAGCTGAAGACGCGGACGAGGCGCAAAGACTCAAGGACAAACTTGAACGTATAATTTCTGGAGTTGGTGCAACGTTTTCCGACGACTTCGCACAACCAGGAATGTCAACGTTGCGATGTATGGAGGACGCCCTCGAGAATTCGGTGTTCACGCTGCTGCTGCTCACCCAGAACTTCAACTCCAACCACAGCGTGACCAGCGCCGATTCAGCGATCGTGAATTCGCTGGAAAACCACCACAAAATGAACTCCGTAATTCCGCTGCTACCTCGCAAGAATTGTTTGTTGCGCAAAAGTTTTCCGTTGGTGCTTCAGACGAAGGTCCCTCTCGATGAAAGCAGAAGAATGTTCGAACACAACGCCCAAAAGGCCATCGCACCGGGAAAAGTAGCAAGTCAAAAGAAGATTTGGATGATCAAACAGCATCGTAAGAAACTAGTCGAGGAACAGAAGAGACTACAAGAGGAGAACGCCATAAATGTGGAGCTGCGACGAGAGATGGAAAAATTAGCGCGACTGAGACAAGAAAGCGAAACGCAGCAAAATAACATGTTTTATCCGCCATCTGTACCAATGCATCCATCTCCGTCACATGGAGCAATGCATCCGCAACACGGCGCATGGCAGCAGCAACAACCGTCGTACATCCACATCGAGAACGCACAAAACGTTATGATCGGAAGTCACTCAACGATGAATATTGACCATGCTAAAAACTCGGCTGATGAGTTTGATTTTTAAACCTGGTGTTTTAAGTGTGTTTTCACTAAAATAGGTGTTGTGAGAAATCATGGGTTTCAGGGAATGAAAACTTATTTTAGCCAATCAGAACACTCTCTACCTGTCAATCTTTTTAAATGCTCAGGTTAGTTGACATCTGGTTGGCTGATGTGTTTTTGGGGGCGGGGTTGGGAGAAGGCCTGACAATCAACCACAACTACCAACTAAAAAAGAAAAGAAAAAACAAGACATAGTGTTTCATATCATTGTAATAATTCAACATTAGGGCTGTATGTATGTTTTATGGTGGTTTATAGTTCTCTATTATTATTATTATTAATATTTTTTGTGGTACTTTGAGTCTAAGCTTAATTTCCATGTTCAACAATTCATATATTCATTATAATTAGGTTTTGCTTTAAAAATTGTAAAGTTGACAGAAATGAAAAACGTCAACTGAAAGCAAAATGTCTATTGTGTTACTGTAAGGAAAAAAAATAATAAAATCATTGCCATATGACAGCAAGGAATATGTTTACACTTTTTTTTCCGTTGTATTATTTGCAATAATACAACAGTTAGTTTTCTAATGACAAAACTGATAAATTATTCTGTATTACTGTGCTTGAGGGGAAATATCTGAATAAAAATAAGCTTAATTGGTGTCTGTCTTTCTCTCTATCTATAAATATGCAATTCATAATTAGTAAAATTGTAATACACATGTTACAGACGTGTGTGTGTGTCTGCTACGGCGCAGGTGAGTGTCGCACATCATTCGTTTTTTGGGGGAGATTGTGATTTTACAGCATTTTTTTTTTTACATGTATGTCATCTGCAGGCAAGGTTTATGTCCTCCGGTGGCGGTCGGAAAGGCTTCCTTGGAGAGTTTCTGGACAATCTCAAGCAGGAACTGACCAAGAGCAAGGAGATGAATGAGAACATCAAGAAGTTTCGCGAGGAGGCCAAAAAACTAGAGGAATCGGAAGCCCTCAAGCAAGCCAGGAGGAAATATGTACGATTTTATGTCTAATGTGATTCTGAAATAGCCAAACATGCCATTTCTCTAGTGTGAAATTGTGTTTTTGTGGGTGTCTTCCAGAAAACCATCGAGTCCGAAACAGTTAAAACTTCTGAAGTGTTGAAGAAAACACTCGGGACGATATCAGAGACGGTGAAGGAGGTGAGTGTAATTAACGCTGATTTTTGGCCGTTCTTGACGTGCAATTTCTCTCATTTCAGAGCACATTTATATTTATGTATTCATTAGCTAAATGTGCAGCGATTTGCATAAGTGCTGAACGTTATGTTTCTGCAGAGTGTTTGTGCTGCAGTATTGCCATGTTCTGCGAAGGATTAGGCTACGTTGCAAAATAATCTGTTGGATTTTGTTCTGATTTTATGTGGAAAACACATTTATTATTTAAGGCAAAACCATTGTTTATTTTCATGCATTGGTCAATTCAGTGTCAATTCACTGAGATACTATCATAGATTTTATTAATATTTTAAAGTTTAGTTTTTATGTTTAGAAGTTCTGTTTATTTTAATTTTAGCTAAATGTTTAATAATTTTGTGTGTTGTTTTTGTAATTTCAGTATTTTTTAATATATGTCTACATAGTTTTTCTTTATTTTTATTTTAGTTTCAGTACATAAATTTGGTTTGGCAACTAGCTGAAATTTTTGTTTTATTTCCACTAACAAAACTGATTTTTAATGGATTTAATTTTACCGCCAATTTTATATTAACATAACTATATTAACCCTCAGGCAGTTTTGAGATATGGGGCCCGTTCTTCGTAGTCGCTGATTACATCCGAGATGAAATGTCACATCCAAGATTATATCATCGCGCTAATCAGGATCTGGCTAATTCGGTTCTTCGAACGCAGCTGTTGTTGATGATTAGTATGGCTGGATTGAGTTATCTGAGATAATTGCGCGTAGCTGTCACCACTCAAATTAATGCACGACTCTACATTATCTGTATAGCATGTGTGTAAGACTCAAATACAATTATGAAGTAATAATTTTATGACGAATAAATATTTCAGTGAGTAAAACTGACTGTCTATAGTATTAAAGACTACATAATTTGATTGTCTTTAAATTAATTTTTAAATTATTATTATTGTCCCCTGGATCAGTAGGATACTCTTATAATGTAATAAAGTATCGGTGGTAGCGGACAGATTTTAAGTATCAATTCTGCTTAAAAAGATGCGATCTAATCCTGTTTACATGAAATAAGCTGCTCCTTAGCAGGTTTAAGCTTACGGACCTGTTGCTATGACAGCAACTCCGGGATGAGCTTCGAAAGAACCAAACAATCCAAGATCATGCCAAATCGTCAACAATCAAATCCAGCTAACTGAATTAGCGACGTACGAAGAACGGGCCCCTGGTCTGTTTTGCTTCCATAACATGTTTTCTTTCAGATTTTCAGGTTTCAGGAAAACATACAAATTGTTTATTTTGCTGGACTTTGTCTATTTGCATCTGTTGATTTCAATTGCAATGCAAATCTTAAAAAGCAATTTTCTCAAAATGAGTTTTTTCCTCCATTTCAGTAGCACTTACAAGCACCAAATTTTACAGCATTATTCCTATCTATATTCTGAAGGTTTTTACTGTGGGGTTTGTTCATATATCATTTGCACGGTTTATTGCTGCACTATTTGCCTCTGTAGATTTCAATTACAATATATTATATTGAAAGTTGATTTCTTCAAAATTAGTTTTTTCTCCACTTCAGTAGCACTTACATGCACCAAATTTTACAGCATTATTCCTATCTATATTCTGAAGGTTTTAACTGTGGGGTTTGTTCATATATCATTTGCATGGTTTGTTGCTGCACTATTTGTAGATTTCAATTACAATATATTATCTTGAAAGGTGATTTCTTCAAAAATGAGTTTTTTCTCAACTTCAGCAGCACTTACATGCACCAAGTTTTACAGTTTTATTCCCATTTGTATTCTGAACATTTTTACTGTTTTTTTTTTATATATAAATATCATTCACCTGTTTTTTTACATTTTATTCCTAAAAACATGACTTTTTTTCTGTCTATTGACAGTATTTTTCAGATTTTTTGGAGTGATAAAAGATATATCCAAAATCCCTTCTGTAAAAACCTTTGACTCTAATATGTCAACAAAGTGAAACACAAATTTTGAACCTGGCTTTACAGATTTCTGCTCTGGAAATGTTTGCAAATTAGTGTCATATTTAATTAGATAATGCCTCATGTGTATATCTAAACAAAATATTTTAGAAAACTTGTAATACCAAAAAATATTGCAATTCTTAATCTAATCAATCAACTGGGAAGTACTGTGATATTTTTTTGGTTAATTTTTTACCCTATTCATTTGGGGTGTCTTGTCTTAAACTGAAGTGATTTGCATAACTGCTCAGTGTTGTTGTCATTCAATGCATGTTGTGTTATTTTAACATTCTGCAAAGCGTTATATTTGTAATACATTTATAAAATATTTTAGGAGCTGATTCATGCTGATTGTGTGCATTTCTCCTCAGGGTTTGGAAGAGGTCGGACGCTCAGACATCGGAAAGAAAATCAAAGAAGGCATGGAGGAAGCGGCCAAATCCGCCAAACAGTCGGCGGAGACGGTGTCTAAAGGTGGAGAAAAACTTGGAAAGACCGGAGCCTTTCGGGCGATATCACAGGTCCGTATCATGATATTGAGTTTTCACATCATAGAAATGCTGATGATGTTATAGGCTATGAATTTCTTGCGTGTATGTTGTGAAAGTGGCATATGAATGAACTGAATAGCTCAATAGTTTCAACTCTTGTTGTCCTCAGGGTGTGGAGAGCGTCAAGAAGGAGATCGGTGACCTCGGACAGATCGGCCCGTACCGGCCGCCCACCAGACTGAGGAAGAGGAGCGATTTCTCATCGAAGGCAGGAGGCGCAGAAGCCAAAGTCTTTGAGGCCAACGAGTAGGTCACATCTCAAGGGCTAATATTATGAAGAATGTATATTGTTGCATATTGCAAAGAAAAATAACTTTTATTTTTTTGTATGTTGGGCTGCATAATATTCATTGTCCAGTATACCAGATAAAATATCAAAAAATATTTAGTAGTTACTATTAATATTTAGTTATGCTATTGTAAATGATATCACTACACGACAAATTATTTTGACGTCTAAAATATAGAAAATATGATATACTTGATGCACTAAAATAATTAAATATACTAAAAACATACATAAAAAATATTTTGTTGATTTTGATTATTTCCATTGTCCTCATTTGTAAGTCGCTTTGGATAAAAGCGTCTACTAAATGTAATGTAAATGTAAAACATATGCTTACCATTGATATACTAAAATAACGAAAACTAAAACTGAAATAAAACTAATAAAAAGATACATGCATGTATATATTTAAGAAAAAATATGTTACGTTTATATATTAAATACATTTATATATATTATAAATTATATGAATATAAATATATACATGTAAATACATTTTAAAAAATTGTTTTTAATATATACTGCATGTGTGTGTTTTCCAAGATTGTTTCAGTGTGCTTTTCTTTATTTTAAAGGGAGGCGATGGGTGTCGTGCTGCACAAGGACTCTAAATGGTATCAGCAGTGGAAGGACTTCAAGGACAACAATGTTGTTTTTAACAGTGAGTTTGACTGAAATGCTCATGTGTGATCAATAGATGGCGCTGTGCTGCAGGGATCTGCTGTATGTTCACAGCTGCTCTGTTCAGGAGCGGCTCTGGATGTTAGCTGTGTTGAAGAGTTCACTGCATCAATTAGAGGCTCGTTAAGCGCAGTGATAATGAGACTCAGTAACGAGCAGCCGCAGCCCGTCGGCTCAGAGACTGTTTTCCCTTCACGAACGAATGCTGCGTGTTGCCCGAAGCATGTTGTGACACATTTGTTTTAGCGTCAGATTGTTGCTCTGAGAGAACGACTCACAATATGTGCCATGTTATTATCCTGAGTCATTTCATGAGCTGTCCTCCTCCCAGGGTTCTTTGAGATGAAGATGAAGTACGACGAGAGTGACAACGCCTTAATCAGAGCGTCCCGCGCCGTCACTGACAAAATGACTGACATCATCGGTAAAAACACCACTGCATTTCTGCTTAGCTTTACTGATAGATAGATAGATAGATAGATGATTGACAGATAGATAGATGATAGATAGATAGACAGACAGACAGATAGATAGATAGATAGATAGATAGATGATTGACAGATAGATAGATAGATAAATAGATATGGATGGATAGACAGATTGATAAACGGATAGATAGATAGATGATTGACATAGATAGATAGACAGACAGATAGATATGGATGGATAGACAGTTAGATTGATAAACGGATAGATAGATAGATGATTGACAGATAGATAGATAGATGATAGATAGATAGATAGATAGATATGGATGGATAGACAGTTAGATTGATAAACGGATAGATAGATAGATAGATATGGATGGATAGACAGATTGATAAATGGATAGATAGATAGATAGATATGGATGGATAGACAGTTAGATTGATAAACGGATAGATAGATAGATATGGATGGATAGACAGATTGATAAATGGATAGATAGATATGGATGGATAGACAGATTGATAAATGGATAGATAGATATGGATGGATAGACAGATTGATAAATGGATAGATAGATATGGATGGATAGACAGATTGATAAATGGATAGATAGATATGGATGGATAGACAGATTGATAAATGGATAGATAGATATGGATGGATAGACAGATTGATAAATGGATAGATAGATATGGATGGATAGACAGATTGATAAATGGATAGATAGATATGGATGGATAGACAGATTGATAAATGGATAGATAGATATGGATGGATAGACAGATTGATAAATGGATAGATAGATATGGATGGATAGACAGATTGATAAATGGATAGATAGATATGGATGGATAGACAGATTGATAAATGGATAGATAGATATGGATGGATAGACAGATTGATAAATGGATAGATAGATATGGATGGATAGACAGATTGATAAATGGATAGATAGATATGGATGGATAGACAGATTGATAAATGGATAGATAGATATGGATGGATAGACAGATTGATAAATGGATAGATAGATATGGATGGATAGACAGATTGATAAATGGATAGATAGATATGGATGGATAGACAGATTGATAAATGGATAGATAGATATGGATGGATAGACAGATTGATAAATGGATAGATAGATATGGATGGATAGACAGATTGATAAATGGATAGATAGATATGGATGGATAGACAGATTGATAAATGGATAGATAGATATGGATGGATAGACAGATTGATAAATGGATAGATAGATATGGATGGATAGACAGATTGATAAATGGATAGATAGATATGGATGGATAGACAGATTGATAAATGGATAGATAGATATGGATGGATAGACAGATTGATAAATGGATAGATAGATATGGATGGATAGACAGATTGATAAATGGATAGATAGATATGGATGGATAGACAGATTGATAAATGGATAGATAGATATGGATGGATAGACAGATTGATAAATGGATAGATAGATATGGATGGATAGACAGATTGATAAATGGATAGATAGATATGGATGGATAGACAGATTGATAAATGGATAGATAGATATGGATGGATAGACAGATTGATAAATGGATAGATAGATATGGATGGATAGACAGATTGATAAATGGATAGATAGATATGGATGGATAGACAGATTGATAAATGGATAGATAGATATGGATGGATAGACAGTTAGATTGATAAACGGATAGATAGATAGATAGATAGATAGATAGCAGTTTGGCTAATAATAACAGATAACAGGTGGCTAGATTGACGGATAGATGGACAATCAGATGAATCATCGTAAGTGTTCTCTGCTCTTAGGCGGCTTGTTCTCTAAAACCGAGATGTCTGAGGTTCTGACCGAGATCCTGAAGGTGGATCCGAACTTCGACAAGGACTCGTTCCTGAAGCAGTGCGAGCGGGACATCATTCCCAACATCCTCGAGGTGAGACCCCGAACCCCCAGCATGCTTTGCTCTTGAACCCCGAAAAACTGAAGGCAAGCAAAAGCTGAACATTCGCTCTGTTTGCAGGCCATGATCCAGGGAGAGCTGGACGTCCTGAAGGACTGGTGCTACGAGGCCGTAAGTGTCCCGCAAACCACCTCTGCTGTCACAGATTCTGGTGTAAAGTTGATGGTCTAACGCTGGTTTTTCACTGGTTTTGCTTGCAGACGTACAGTCAGCTGGCTCACCCCATCCAGCAGGCCAAAGCCATGGGTCTCCAGTTCCACTCCAAGATCCTGGACATTGATAACATTGACGTAAGAACCATCGGAAAGACGCATAACATCCATCTGCTGCATGCTAATGGCCCAGTAACTCCATCAGAGCGTCCTGATGGACGTATAATTCAGAATAATGGGATATCGGAGCGTTTGAATTTCATTATAGCATCATCGTTGTCTTCTCCAGATGTATAAAGTAACTCGTTTCGGTTGTTTTTTTCGCTGTAGTTGGCGATGGGGAAGATGATGGAGCAAGGTCCCGTTCTCATCATCACCTTCCAGGCTCAGCTGGTGATGGTCATCCGTAACGTGAAGGGTGAAGTGGTGGAGGGCGACCCGGTGAGTGAGCGCTAGCATTAGCGATGACGTTAGCCGTTAGCGCTAGTGAATCACCTCTGGAGCCGCCGTGGCTGGGCAGTTCGCAAAAGCCGCCGGATATAAATCTGCTCAAAGGCCAAATGTAAATACACACCAGGGATGTTTCTGCGTTAGGAGTTTGTAGTTAATTTTCGCCGTCCAGTGCCCTCGAGTCGCTGAGTTCAGACAGTCGTGGATATTAGAAATGCTGTTTTATTTCACACGGCTGAAGTAGCGGTCATGTGTTTGAATAAATCTGAACATTTAAAAGTTCATTTTTAGTTTATACATAAAGATTCTCCTGCAAAATGTCTGATTCTCATTAGCTGTTGGGTGAATCTCATGTCCAGGTCATATTAAACCCTAAAATCAAAAGGGAAAAAAAATACAAGATATATTTTTTATGTAATAAAATTAAATATTTTTGGAAAATTTGCCGTTTTATTTTGTTACATATCTATCTATCTATCTATCTATATATATATACTAAATATTTAAAAATTCAATTAAACATGTCTATATATTAAATGTGAATTTAATATTAATTGTTATTGTTTTTCAATAAAAAAATAAAAATTATATAAAAAATTACTTAAATACATAGAAAATATTTAAATATTTATTTTATATAAAAATATTTATTTTAGATAGCTATATAATATGATAATAATATTAATAGAAATAATAATATTATTATTAATATCATTATTCACCCCACAAAAATCTAAAGAAAAAAATATTTTGCCTAAAAAAATCTGTTTATAGAACCATTAAGAATTATATCATTAATTTATTTATATTAATTAATTTATATTATTTTTATTATGGATAGATATGATTAAGCATCTTCCCCCATAATTCTAATTAAACACAATTACTATATGAATTATTCCTTTAATATTAATTGTATTTTTGAAAATCAATTTTAATTTATTATATTATTTATATATTCTGACTAATTTGAAAAAAAAAAAATCGTAATAATTAATGTTAATCAAAAATTTAAATGTAACAATTAAATAAGTAATTGTACCACAGTGATTAATTAAACAAAAGTCTGTATTGAGAGTAATCTAAATTATGAAATTTTTTACATTTATATTTAAAATAAAAATGTTATGTTTTTAAAATTTAAAATCTTAATGCAAAAAAAAAAATCGTAATTTTACTAAAACAGAATACAAATATTTTGATTTTGTAACGAAAAATGTAAGTTTTCATGAAATTCACACATTCGTTGCATTTGTGCATTCCACAGGAAAAGGTTCTCAGGATGATGTACGTTTGGGCGTTGTGTCGAGATCAGGACGAGTTGAACCCTTACGCCGCCTGGAGACTCTTAGACATCTCCGCTTCCAGCACTGAGCAAATCCTGTAAACAACGGCTTCCTCAATGGGGACACGAGGGGAGGGATCGGGATCGGGGGCGTGGCTCAACTGGGGGCGGAGCCACACACATTGGCTTGTTTTACATAACTCCGCCCCTAGCGGTTTCTTCCAGAGCTCTACCACGAACCGCAGGGTTGTTCGCGATGAGCCAAAATGGCCGACGGTTGGACTCAACGCCATTGGACCGAATCCCCATCAGTCTGAAAGACTAAGAGACTCGTTTTTGTTTGTGCGTATTGTCCGTTTACCTGTTCTGGAATGAACATGTGAAGTCGAGTGGTTATCAAGTGCCATTCTACCAAGCTATCAATAACAATGTGGAAGAATAATAATTATAATAAAAGTACTTAATTTCTATTGTATTGTATCTGAATATAACTAAACCTCCCCAGGCATCTTAAACCGAGATACGGTCTGGAATTGTTGCGACAATGGTTGATGTCTATTTATTAAAGATTTGGTCCAGGTTATGTAGTTTTATCAATTACAGATTGTATCTTTAAGATCGGCCTTAACGTTTTCTTCTTTCGGAGTGTTTCAATTTGTTAAAATTTTATTTTGTGTTTGACTGTAAAAAAAAAAAAAAAAAAATATATATATATATTTGTTGTTTGTCTTAATAATGTGGGCAAATTAAAAATACAGTGGTTAAATAAAAAAAAAAAATTATATTGCTCTGTTTTAAAAAAGGTTATAAAAAATGTCAATAATTATCG